TAATATCGATGCCACCTATTTTGTTTTATTTTAATTCAGTAATAACCGATGGAGCCTTTGCCCTTCGGGTTACTTTCTGAATGGATTATATCGCAATAAAGGCGAATTTTTACACAGCATCGAAGAAGGCTATTGCTGTAGACCCAACAATCATCCTGACCGCTATGGATTGTGTTATGATGAAGATGTTGGAGTATCGTTTGATAGAGAAGGATGGTCAAATTGTTCAAAGCCTGAGTACTATATCACTGGAGTTTATCGTGGATCTGGGGAAAACTGGCTTAACAATGTTGACAAATTTCGATGTTGTCAAATGGGTTTAGATATATAAAGACTTTGCCACTAAAATATTATCTGGTGATATAACAGATATTAGTCTATCAGTTTGATGGCATTTAAGGACGCTCCTTACACGCAGTTTCCCCTGAGGATCATGCATTTAGCCGAATTATTCAGAAGTTATTTTCTTGCGTCCCGTGGGTCGGTGGGTGGAATATTCACGGATTTTGTACAGCATGCAGCAGTGAAAGTATTTTTAGTCAATGTTAATGTTTTCTTGGAAAGAAAGATGCCAGTTATATATTTTAAAAATGTTACGCGCTACATATAGTTCAAATTTTAAACAGTTCTTAAAGCTTTTGTTTAGTATATGTTTTTCATCTATTCACGTTTATAGCATTGGCCTTTTAAACGTTTAAAAATATTTGACTTGTAAAAGAGTAACATAAATATTATACTAATGTAGCGAGTTTTGAAACGTACGTTTTGAAATGCTATAAGTCTTCAAGGTTCATTAATGTTACACAGTATATATTATCCTTTTAAAGATAAAAGGTTAATTTTATATTATACTCAGGGTCTGTAGCTATAGCATGTATAGTTGGGAGTGTCGGGCAGAAATTTCCGAATGACGAAAAAACAATTTCCGAATCTTTCTTGGCCTACGAAGCCACGAAGGTGTTTGCTATCCGGAAAATGAAGACGCAATAAATTATAAATCATTACCAGAAATGTGGGACATTTTTCGTCCGCAATCGTATCCAGCGGTTTTACGCATAAATGATGATTCATCAAAAAATACAAACAAAATGGCGGCTCATTCTTCAAAGACAAATCGTGTTGTTAATATATTGAAGAGGAAATTCCGTGCTGACGGCTAAATTCCATTTTATTTTACTGCGATTAACTAATGTAAGATTGTCTGATATTTTTTACAACAGCAGAACCACTATTTGTGGTACGATCGAAGAAGTAATTTCCAAATTTGACGAGTTTAAGCACGTATAATAAATATATTTAGCTGAGAAATGTGCATAAATTTGCGTGCTGGGCAGGGTAAGAGACTGGGAAGAGCATAATTAATTTAAAAACAAATATGGCGGAGAAGAAACGCAATGTATGCAAATTTTATCGTAGTTGTGCTGATAAAAATGGCCTCTTGTAGCATGTATGGATGTATAAAATGGCCAAGTTTAGAGGATTTTGGAAGTAGTTTCCTGTGGAATTTAGATACTTTTGCTGGCGAATATATAAACTGTGAATGCTGTTGAAACGATTGCGACGCCAAGCTCAAGATTTTGCTGGATATATTTCCGTCCACCAGGCTGCGTTTGTGGCGTGTATTGTCAGATTCACATGCAATATAAGGAGTTATTATGCTGGTGAATGTGATATCAATAATGAGCTCGGGAAGTGAGTGTATTTTATTCTAGAAATAGTTGTTAGAATTAATAGATTCCTGAATCAGCATAGCATGTGAAACGATGCCAAGTAAGCGTGATTTGCGGCTCATTGATGCGATATTTGAGAAAGTTCTTATATGCCTATACTAATCCTAGCATTATCGGACGCCATTTTGTTGCGTAATTTTTTGTCATGTCCACCATCTTGACCCACATTTCTGGTAATGATATTAAAGCCGTTTATTATTAGATGCGTTTTTTGGTATAAAATAGGTAATTGGACAAGTACTGGGGTAAGACAATTCAGGCCTTAAAATAACTTTTACAGGGCCGTCTGACCAAAATGTCCGATGACTGCGAGTTTGGCTCGGCCATATCTATGATGATGTCCGATGACCTTCAGCTCAGTTTAGTTCGGAAATAAGTCTGAATGACACAAATGAATATCAGCACAATGTATTATTTCCGAACGGTGAATCCGTAAATGTTGTGAAGATAGTAAATAATTTGTGTCATTCATACTTATTTCCATTTTAAAGGATCTATCAACGGCGTAGCCAGCTCGGATAATTGAGGGGGGTTAGGGCGGGGGTTCCATATTCATATATTTGTGTTCACAAGCCTTATAAACAATCGATTTCAAAAGAATGCAGAATATAAATATCGAGCGACCGATATTTTAGGGCCTGCAATTACCTATTACCTATTTTATACCAAAAAATTCAAAATTAAGATGATTAAATTTAATATGCTACAATTTACAATAATGATAAAAATTACGAGATTTGAAGTTTCTAAGGGTTTTCTTGAGAGAATTGAGTCAATTATTGACCAAATACAAACAAAAATACGCATATTTTACGCATAGACGTATTATAGAAGTACTAAAAACCAAAACATATTTACGATTTACGAGTTGTAAATTGTTATCCAAATATAAATGCTATGATTTCGTAAATCAGTTTTTTACTGACAATACAATTCTATAATATTTTCTTTGTTTAACAACTAAAATTTCGTTATACTTTTATTACCGTAATTTTCTCAATGGCCAACCTGATTTTCCGAATATGTTAATTCTAAAAAAGTTGGGGGTTAACCACCCCTCCCCCCACCCCCAATACCCCCCTTGCTGCGGCCCTACGTACTCTTCCATTAGACTAACTATAGTATAATCATCTGGTATTTTATCACTTTTGTCAGCTGTTTTATTACGCTTTATATAATACCTTATTGAATTCTGATCGTTTAATTGGCTGTTTATGGTCACGTGATATTGAATAGAAAATTCCATTTCCCAAGAGTGCAATGGAATACGTTCCATTGCACTCTTGCGAGTGCAATTGTACTATACGTTTTATTCCATTGCACTCTTTGTGTTTTCGATAAATCGCATCCGTCGTACGGTGATCGCAGTTTTTTTAACCCGATATTCGAAACTCAGTAAATGGGAATTATTGCAAATACATGACTCGTCAAAATGGCGGGAGCTTACAGTAAACTTTTTAATATTAGTCTATTTTGGTATTATATAAAACAAATAATGGATGTTTTTATTCGTGCAATGGTAAGAATATTTTCATTCGGTGAAAGATGGAATGTTCCATTCAACTCGGCTGTCGCCTCGTTGAATGGAACATTCCATCTTTTACCTCATGAAAATATTCTTACCATTGCACTCATAAACATTCATTATTTGTATAATATGCCATAAAACAAGTCTTGAACCGATTTTAACGGATACAAATTTAAGAAAAGTTAATAAATATTATTGCATGAAAATAAAAGTTTTTTTCTAATTTTGTACTGTTTTAAATATGCATTTGTTTATTATTTTCGTCGCAAACAAAATTTTTTTTTTCAACTGCAAAAATCATTGTTGAAGCGGGATCACGCTGGAAGAAGGATTTTCCAAGTATTTCGCCATAAAATTGCGAACTGAAAATGGTATTTTCATGCAGAAGGATCTTGTAGATGGAAATTATCGAGTGGAAATATATACACATTTATTAGACCTAACCAGGAACACAAGCGAAAAATACAACTATAGGTCCCTGGCAGGAATCGTCGTCGAATAAACCTGCGGCCCTGCGATTCCGGTGCAGCGCTCTAACCAACTGAATTACAGAGGTCAGTTGGCGAGCTCTAACCACAAGTTCATGTATACATACTGTATAGGGTAATGCCCTGCCATGTTAGATTATGGGTAAATATCAAGATTTTGTTGGCATCTCACCCCAACAGCGAGCCTTTGCTTCTGGTAGCTTAACGCTTTTCAAGTATTATCGGAACAAGGTCAAAAGGAAACGCTTGTCGGACCAATTTCTATATATCGAAGGTGGGAAACCAGAATCAGAAACAACTCAATCCCAAGGACTGGTGGCGTGATGACTACCAACGGAACTGGAGATTCAGTGCGCGTGCTTCTATTTTTGATTACCGTAAGGCATTTAATATTTGATCTAATTGATCGATCATATCATATTAGTTAATAAAATCCGCCAATTTCCTATTCCACCACCTATCATTAATTGGCTAATCGATTTTCTAACGAACCGGATGCAGCAAGTTAAACTTGCGAGGGATTGGCTCCTGCAATCTCGCAAGCCAGGCTTTCTACTTCCGCTAATTTCCTCCCAAACACGTGTTTGGGAGGGAAGCGGAAGTAGAGAGCCTGGCAGCCATTGCGAGGTTGTGTTTCCGGTTCTTTATACCGTTCTGTTTGATTGACAGTTCTAATGTTATATATATATATATATATATATATATATATATATATATATATATATATATATATATATATATATATATATATATATATATATATATATACATGGTGCGCGAAAATACCAGATTTATTTCGAGTGTTGAACATGATATCTCACGAGTGAGCGCAGCGAACGAGTGGGATAGCATGTTGAGGGCCCCCTATACTTTTTGCGTGAAGCGTGAAGGGCTTATTTTACTTAGCCGTGAAACGTGATCGGGCCCCCTATACTTTTTGCGTGAAGCGTGAAGGGCTTATTTTACTTAGCCGTGAAACGTGATCGATGATTTGCTTAATCCGTGACTCGTGAAAAGGCAAAATATTTTTACGTGAAAGCATATTGTGAAGAGGTATAGGGGGCCCTCCATGTTCAACACGAGATATTAATCTGGTATTTCCAAACACCCATGTATTTTTCTGTTTATTATATAAACAAAATTGAAAAACAATAAAACATCTGTGGCAATGCATTTTACAACAAGTTCTCTGATTGGTCAAACATATTTCCTACGCACTTTTTGATTTGCTTGCAAAAATTGATATTTTCACAGTACGTAAAAATATCGTATTTTTTACGTGTGTTTAGATAAGATTTTTCTCAGTGGCCAAAAAGTCTATATAACACTTATGTTTATATAATAAATTAACATATGACGTCTGTCTACAATACTTGATATATTTTCAGAAATATATTTTGAACATGTCATAATTATATTTTTCTGTACTTGTGTTCGTCAATAAGTATTTTTATTATATGGCTTTTCAAAATTCTCTATTCTGATTAGTTGTCAAGCGGTCCGTAAAAACACATATCCGGACCGTGGTCCGTATATTCCGTATCTGGACCGGTGTCCCAGATGTCGTTTATCTGGCGGGAAATTTTTGCTTTGCATACAGAAAAAAATCAAGTTTAATTTTCCAATTCTACTTTAGAAAATTAATTATTTATTATTTATTAAATTGTTTAGCATGCATGCCTACCGTATATTGTTACCCAGTGAAACTGACGATAGCCGATTTAATGATAGCGAAAAGCATATGCTCGCAGACTCAGTTCATCCATATCCGCTTGTTTGGTCTGTACTGTGAAATATCAGACCTCTGTTTTTTGCATGGACCTCGCTCCTTCGTCGCTCGATCCATACTAAAAAACCTCGGTCTGATATTTCACAGTACAGACCTCACGCTCGGTCAATAAGCCGTTAATATATCTTCATACATATATACATACAATTATACGGATGAGAGAGCTAATCAACAAATGCTTATAGCGATGCTCCCAAGGGAGTCTTTAATTAGTTATGGCATTCTAGATTATAGTATACAGGGTGTCTCAAAAAAACCCAAAATCATTGAAATAACGTATTGTTCGAATTTCAATGCCGTAACACAAAGGATTTTGACAGGGTGATTAATTTGTTTTAAAAAATTAAAATATCTTTGTAAAGTGAACGTTTGTTTGCTCATGGGAATTTAAAAATGCTTCGTAAATTCGTGGGTTTAGTACTTTATGCCTGACATAACAAGTTTACGCTGAGTATTACCATTCATTATAGCAGTTATGTCAATCTTTTATGCACTCGTGGGATTAACTTAGTGCTAGGGCATTGAATATCGAACAATACGTCAATTTCAATGATTTTGGGTTTTTTTGAGACACCCTGTACAGCTGGCAAATTTGTATATCTATGATGATGTTGTTTATTAGTCAACCTACGGATGCATGAACAGGTCTTCTGCATGAAAAGACCACTTTCTGTCAATATTGAAAAGATACCGAATATATCATTCGCGAGTTTGCAAGCAGACAAATAAGCAAACAGACAAATAAATAATATCAACATGCTGCCTATATTCAACGGAAAAGAGAAAAACAAATTTGCCATGAGTCGTCAAAGTTGTCATCGACTATGCAATTTAGTCGTTTAATTGGCTTCTGTACTTCTGAGATTCAGTCTTTTGTCGCTGATATTTATTATTAATAAAAACTATTGTCCTTTTAGAGAAAAACAGTTGTCCTTTTCTTCAATGTTTTGTTAGAATATCGATTCTCGATATGAATGTAACCTTGGTTTATCTCATACGTGTTGAAAATGACATAGTGACTTTAAGGTTGAGCAAGGCCGGACACTCGCGTGACAACTCAGAACAGATGTCAACACCGGTCTATATTTTACTGTCGATGCAATTATAGAAGTGTTGATAAAATATTGCACCAATTCCTTTCCTCAAGTTGATCAGTTCATTTGATAGAAAATTGATCAACTTCCTGTACTTACTTTTAAATGAGCCAATTAGATTTCGTTTCAGAACCAATTGACCAATAGGAAACGCACAGGAAATAAAAAGAAATTTGAATTCGTATGAATTGATCAACTTGAGGAAATGAATTCATGCAATATTTTATCAACACTTCCATTGCATCGACAGTAATTACTATAAACGCAAAAGTAGTTTGTTGACATTCTAATTCTCGTTTCTACTATTATTTTACAATTATCTCAACCTCCTCCGCAGGGCTTTCAAAAATTAGGGAGGCGAAAATTTCGGGCGGGTGAAAATTGGTGGGAAACAAACAGAAAGACCTGCGGACTAATTTCCAAGATAGCCGAAGCCATAAGCCAAATTATATTTGCATGTATATCATTTTATACCAGATAAATTAAAATACTTAAAGTGCCTATGACACGAAATTTCACCCCAAATGTTTATGGTTGCATTGTAAAGATTACTTAAAATGACTTAATAATTTCTTTTATAGAATTTTGGTAACTTGCTCCCTTTTCAAGATATTCAACTTTGTTCCATATGCAAATATCACCGGTGTGACATCACATCGCTTAATGAGTTTTCAGAAAAGTATAGTTTTCTAGATGAATACGGATCTAAAAAACTTAAAAATTGCTCTTGTATATGTATTAATTTCATAACTGGTAATTAACCCTCTGTATTTGTTTGTAAAAATATTTTATCAAGGTAAAATATTGCGTTTTCAAAATGTCATTATGCGATGTGATGTCACACCGGTGATATTTGCATATGAAACAAAGTTGAATATCTTGCAAAGGAAGCAAGTTACCAAAACTCTATAAAAGAAATTATTAAGTCATTATAAGTGATCTTTACAATGCAATCATAAACATATGGGGTGAAATTTCGTGTCATAGGCACTTTAAGAAATGATGAAATACTTACGAAATACTTAAAATACTTACGAAATGATGACGTAATGCTCGCGCCGCAGAAATCCTTCCCTATACATGTAAGTATACAGCTGATTTCAGCTGATTCAAAAAAGGTTGTCCTTTGCAAACTTTAAACTCTAAACCTTAACCCTTAAACTTTAAGCGCCCAAAGCTTAATGGGAGCGCGAATTTGTAGCTTAGTAGTTGAATATCGAATATTGCAGCTATTCGTGAATGAATTGTTTTCGTCAGTAAGGAGATATTTACCATGTCTCTAAGAAATGGACTCAATATGTATATGATTTCTAAACTAATTAAATTATGCTCCCATTATATGCTTTGCACGTTTAGAGTTTTACAGTTTAAGGTTTACAGTTTATAATTAAGGTTTGCAAAGGACAACCTTTTTTGAATTAGCTGTATATCAATACAAAATATTTATAAGATCTTCTAATGGTCACCACGATGAAGTAAAACACGCTCCAACTAAAATAGCCAGTGCTATGAATATTCTTTCAACATGGTCATGGCCGCCATGTTATGAATGTTCTACAAAATTATACAATATATATACATGTAGGTATAAAGTAACCGCCAGAGAATTATAAACGTGAAAAATATTTTATATCACGATTCGAACTCGCCCTACACGAGCTGCATTCATACGAGCAGCGTGAATATAGCAAGGTAATTAATATCCTTCAAGCAGACTATCATTTTGTTTATTAATTTCTAGAAACCTCCAGAACCAGTTTCAACAAGCACTCTGCCTCAGATAACACAACCATCATCAAGTAAGGTCTAAAATCATAATTATATTATAACTGCACCACCGACGGCGACTCATTACAGTATACCTGGTTGGCCTATAATTAGAGAATTATATTTATAGAGAATTATATTATTAGAGAATTGCATTTTACTCTGTTTAGCAAATCAAAAACTGTTATCATCTTGTATAAGGAACTACTGCAAAGAAACAGGTTTGTGAGTCACCAACTTTGAAGGATTTTGTAGATGGAAATTTCGAGTCTAAATTTTATACATCTAGTTAGACCTAACCAGCAGCAGCTGGGAAAAACTAACCAATTAAGGAATCCAATTAACAGGAATCCAATTAACCCGCAGGCCGCAGCCCGGCGATTTCGGCGCAGCGCTCAAACTAACTGAAGGTCCAGTACCATTATTGTGCGACGTATTAACGAAACACATAATGAAAAACATCCGATTAGAAATGTCGTGGTATGGTTGAGGTCTCGACATTCCAAAGGGCATTAAAAGGAATTATAGTTTAAACTAAACTGATAGAACTATTCAATATAATGAAGTTAGTTTAATCAAACTGTGCTTTAATGTCCTCTACACAATTAAGCAAATGAACAAAAGAATCAGTAATTTTTACTGGCGTGCAAATACCTTACACTAAGACTTCTGACTAATGTTTACACGTTGCAATGTTGGAACATAACTTCGTACTATTGATAGGTCACTCAGCAACGGTGTTTACCAACTACGAAATAATGATTCACTCGAACAATATCAAGTTTACTGTCACATGACTGGATTATCTGGATGTGGCCAAGGAGGTTTGACACTACTGATGAAAGTAGATGGGCACAAGGTACGGATAATCTCTTCGAATGCATAAACACAACAAACAATAATATATAGAGAAATTAACAAACTTTTTGCTTTGCAGAATGACTTTAACTACAGCTCTCCTTACTGGACAAACAAGGAAGCCTACGTAGTTGGAGATGGACTTGAAGGTTTTGAATGAAAAACAAACAAAACTTGCTTCATACTGGAACACACCGTTTAACAACATATGCCTTGGAATGAAAGTCCAAAAAAATGGATAGCGTTAAACTACACCGACAACTCATTAAACAGTGTGATCGAAGACGGGAAGTTTAAAGGACAACTCAACAAACAAGTAAGTTCACAATGGATCACCTTTAGAATCGAAAACAAAGAAGTGTCATGCTAAAAATATAGTTTTTAAATTAAGATAATCTTGTTTTGATAATTAACGACAATACAGTAAACAGCGTTAGTAGTATAATAGAGAAGAGGTGTTCACCTTCCGTCAAAACGTCACCATGCATTTTAAAGTTAGCGTTATTTTATGCATGTTTTCAAGGTTATGTCACATATATGTATTCTCACTAAAGTGTCTGAAACAGATGAATGCATGTCACAGGCTCGTATGTTATTAGGTTATTCACGACAACTTGCTCTAACCCTATCTTTGATTTATTATGTATAGATATCTGTTAGAACAGATGTTAACGGGAGTTAGCATACACATTTTGATGAATTTTTACATTTCAATCAATTATACCCGACGACATTCGTACTCGTACTCATTCGTACTGCATATGGGTCGAAATCATTCGTATGAGTTGCAAGCCTCTCCTGATATGTTGCATTTACAGACCTACAGACCAAGACTGTGCACTATTTATCTCGGGACTTGGTGATTGCTTGTCTAAGATAGATCTGGAATTGAATGTGAATTGATTTTATTAGGTGATTTCAATATCGATCAATATAATGGCTGCAAACAGAATAAGCAAAAACGTATTAACTTTGCACGTTCCGTGTATTTGTCTCAAATTATAACAGAGCCAATTGATTGATTTGGCTTTTGTCAATAATCAACATCGTATTGTCGACTCCGGTGCAGTTTCGTTATCATTGAGTGATCATTCTTTAGTGTACTGTTTAGTAAAATGAGGTGTGAAAAAGGCTCCCCCTAGAACAATGGAATACCGCTCGTACAAGTCCTTTAATGCCAATACTTTTATTCATTTTATAACTCCACAAACTTAATGGGTGTGTCATCTAGCACCGTAGGTTGGTTTATTCCTACCTGAGCAATCGGACGCAACAAACGTCTCGTGGACGTGAATTGTCGCACACTCTTCCAGCCACTTTTGGAGTCCTCCCAGGGAGCATTTATGGCCCACTTCTCTTTCTCGTGTACATAAACGATCTGCCCAGTATATTACCAATAAGTGCAATGTTTCCTTGTATGCCGATGAAGTCTTATAATGCTACGCCTCAGATGTCAATGATCTTGAAAGAAATCTTGATGAAGATTTACTTAAGTTAGCGATTTGGTTAAATGAGTATAAGCTGACACTGAATTTAAATAAAACTCGATCAACGATTATAGGCAGTGATAGGAAGTTATGCAATATATCTTCGATCTCTGTCTCTGTCAACAACACTGAAGTCTCAACGCCAGCAATTTCAAGTACTTAGGAGTCACCATTACAGCCAACTTCAGTACCTGGTCAGAACATATAGATCGCATTTCCGCTAAAGGCAATCAACGCCCAACCTCGTTCCCAGGCCTGGGAACGAGGCTGGTCAACGCCTAAGTCTAATTGGCAGTATTAAACACCTGCTACGAATCCTTTTTATAACAGTCTTGTACTCCCAATAATACAGTGCTAATGAACAATCAGATACTCCAGAACAAAGCCCTCAAGATTGTTTTAGATATAAACCACTTTTTTCATCGGCAACAGACGCATTAAACACATTAGGCTGGATCACTCTTGAACAACGTATAGATTGTATCATAGATGCTTATTTGTTTTTAAGTGTCTAAATAATCATGCCTCACATGGATTTGAACTTCTAGCGAACAGAGAAATACACAACCACATTACGCGATATAAGGAGAATTAAGGTCACCTAAAGTAAATCGTTTCTTGGTGCTACAGTATAGTTAAATTCGTTATAGACAGAAATAGACAAAATAAACAGAGGGAAACATTTTAGAGGAGTTAGGTCTATGATCAGGAAGACAGTTAGATATAGATAGTATGTTATAGACCGTCAAACACATGTAAAAGTTGGCATGTTTGTGTATACAATTCCCATGGGCCTTACGAACATGAGTGGGGGTACTCTTTGTGTCCATGAATTATCTGCATGAGTAGACTCATGCAGAACTGCTACTCATATGCTCATAAGACCCTTTGGTACGATATTTTTCTCACGCGCAACACGTCTATAGGCAAATACCAAGTCATCATGCAGTTTCAGATATCAGCAGCAACTCTTGAGTTTATGATCGGAGCAGCAACTCTGAGTCTATGAACAGCAATCTAAAAACCCCTCTTTATTATACAACTATATAGCGTTGGCCTAATTTAATCAAGAAATTTAATATCTATACCACGCTCAAGGGTGGGTTGACTACAAAATTTTTGTAGTTCGCTATAACTACAGCTACTTCAAAAATATGTAGTCAGCTACAACTACTGCTACTTTTGAACAAAGGTAGTTCGCTACTGACTACAGCTACTGCTTAAAAAATGTAGCGAACTATTTCGCTATTTCGCTACTCTATATTTTTTAGTTTTACGGTATTTGGAGCATCCACTAGCTCAAGCTGTAATATAACCTATAACAAATCGACTTACGAGTAGCAACAGTAAACAAAAAGGGTCAAAGCAACATTTTTATAAGCACTACAGTGTTCAGGAGTGCCACTTTTCATTGCGCTAAAATAATCTTTACTGTATAAAATAATCTTTTAAGCAAACCGTGTCTTAATATCATTCTATTCTATGAACGGTTGCTAACATATTTTAAAAAGTAGCGAATAGCGATTCGCTGTTTGAAAAGTAGTCAACTACTTGGCTACTTTTAGGCAAAATGTAGTTCGCTATAACTACAACTACTGTTTTAAAGAAGTAGTCAAAAACTACTGGCTACTTGAAAATTGTAGTTCGCTACAGTAGCGAACTACAACTACTTGGCTACTACCCACCCTTGACCACGCTATAACAGTTGAAAAATTACTTCATAGGTTAATAGTTTTTAAAGGAATTCGCATTTTACTCTGTTTAGCAAATCAAGAACTTTATTTCTGTGTTGGTGTTGTGTACTCAGGTGAATAATATGTTTGCGATGTTACTCTGAGTGCATATCCACACCGGGCGAGCTTGAAAAATATGCCCGGCCACGGTGGGATTCGAACCTACGACCTTTGGAATACTAGCCCAATGCTCTTCCTTGTAAGGAACTACTGCAAAGAAACAGGTTTGTGAGTCACCAACGTTTTTGGTGAAGGATTTTGCAGATGGAAATTTCGACTTGTAAATTTTATACATCTGGTTAGACCTAACCAGCAGCAGCTGCGAAAAATGCAACTATAGGCCCTCTGGCAGCAATCCAATCCGCGGCCTGGCGATTTCGGTACATCGCTCAAACCAATTGAGCTGCAGAGTCCAGTACCATTGCTGTGTAACATAACGAAAAACTTAATGAAAAACATTCGATTAGAAATGTCGTGGTATAATTGATGTTTGGACATTCCAAAAGGAATTTTTAAGAGGAAGAACAGTTTAAATTAAACCGATAGAACTATTCAATATAATCAAGTTAGTTTAATCAAACTGTGGTTTAATGTCCTCTACACCTCTAAGCAAACAAACAAAAGAATCAGTAATTTTTATAGTGGCTTATTGGAAATGTGGTGCAAATACCTTACTCTAAAATTTCTGACTAAAGTTTACATGCACGATGTTACCATGTGGTCTTGCTAAAATTCACATAACTTCGCACTCTTTATATGTCACTCAGCAACGGTGTTTACCAACTGCGAAATACTGATTCACTCGAACAATATCAAGTTTACTGTCACATGACTGAATTATCTGGGTGTGGGCAAGGAGGTTGGACACTACTGATGAAAGTAGATGGGAACAAAGTACGGATAATCTTAGCCTAACATAATTTCTTCGAATGCGTAAACATGCATGAAAAACAATATTAATAATATATAGAAAAATGAGTAAACTTTTTGCTTTGCAGAATGAATTCAACTACAGCTCTCCTTACTGGACAAACAAGGAAACCTACGCAGTTGAAGATGGACTTGAAGGTTTGAATGAAAAGCAGGCAAAACTTGCTTCTTACTGGAACACACCGTTTAACAAAATATGCCTCGGAATGAAAGTCAATGGTGCTACAAAATGGATAGTGTTAAACTACACCACAAACTCGTTACACAGTGTGATCGAAGACGGGACTTTTAAAAAAACAACCGTTGGAAAGGAAGCATGGAAGTCTCTTATCGATGGTTCGTCTTTGCAAGAAAACTGTAATAAAGAAGGATTTAATATACAAATGAATTACGCGGTTTACGCGTGGCGGTGGTACACGAACATACGAATTGGTTTGCTGGCAAATAATGAAAACCACTGCAGTAGTTGTGACTCGTGCATTGGCTTTGGAACTTCGGTAAGTGAATGCGAGGATGACGTAAGGAACACAACGTGCGGCAATATGGCTGTTTGTGATCAGCTGAAAAATAAGAACACGGCAGCATTTGGATATATACTCGTACAGTAGTGATTGCAACGATTCTATAAGAACTAGCTGACGCAGATGCAAAAACTATAGTAGTTACTGTAGTGAGGACAAAACGCTTGTTTTGACTGAACTTTATACTACAGTCGAACCTCTATTAAGCGGCCCTCCATTAAGCGGCCACCCTCTATTAAACGGCCACATATCGAAGTCCCGACATTTTTGTAATACAAATACTATAAACTATCCCTCTATTAAACGGCCACCTCTATTAAGCGGCCGCGGCCACCCAAAGAGCGGTCCCAAATGTTGTTTTATGTCAATTTTTACCTCTATTAAGCGGCCAGCCTGCAGGATTTAATTGGCACAACACCTTGTCAAGAGAGCCGAAAATAAAAGTCGAGCTAGTTTGCTTTATTTGTAAAATAAGGCTTAAAAATTATGTTTTAACACATGCCACTTTACACCTCAAAAGCTTTACACCTCAAAAGCATTGACTACGCCCAGGGTCTATTATTTGCATACCTCTATTTAGCGGCCACCTGTATTAAGCGGCCACAAAGCCGATCCCCGAGGGTGGCCGCTTAATAGAGGTTCGACTGTATAACTCTTTACGTAATAACTACAGTGAAACACGCAATTTGATTGGTCAATAACCGTGCAGGATCAGGTTATCCTGCACGAGGAATTAAAATGCCTTCGCGGGATTTTCGCGGGATTCTCAAAATGTCATTGTTTCACTGTAGTTATTTTATAAAACAATTACCAAATGATTTTCCAAGCAGGATAGCGTCATCCATGCACTTGGGATGTTGCTCGGATTTCGGAAAGCGTAAAAATACACTCGCCTGCGGCTCGAGTATTTTTACGCTTTCCGAAAGTCTCGCGGCATCCCTCGTGCATGGATCACGCAATCCTGCACGGAAAACCATTCGGAATTCCTTTAATGATGTATTATATATATGTCATTATCGCTATCGGGTGTTTGGTTGACTGTTTAATTAATCGATTATGTAATGATGAACCATCCGGGGAATAGAAATTATATAGCTTTTAGAAAGTACATTTATTGTATATATCGTTACTTTAAATTGTAGTTTTAATTCTTTGATCAGTTTGAGTTTGTATGCATTCGTATTTGTGAAAATCACCCCGTTTTAAAAGTAGAATAAAATAATGTTGACAGGAAAAACATGTTTCATATTTATTCTTAAAGGAACACCGAATGGTTTTCCGTGCAAAATTGCGTGATCCATGCACGAGGATGTCGCGCCGAGACTTTCGGAAAGCGTAAAAATACTCGAGCCGCAGGCGAGTGTGCTTTCCGAAAATCGAGCAACATCGCAAGTGAATGGATCACGCTATCCTGCATGGAAAACCATTTGTAATTGTTTTATAAAATAACTCAGTAAAACAATGACATTTGAGAATCCCGCGAAAATCCCGAGAAGGCATTTTAATTCCTCGTGCAGGATAGCCGAATTTATACAAGAGAACATTATTTCTCAGCGGCATATATTTGATATTTGATCACTACATATATATATATATATATATATATTCATGGCGTATACCCAGTGAATCCGCGTATTGTGTAGCTTGGGCCTAATTAAGTTGATGTTTCAGTCTAATTATAGCGTCAGTCGTTTCGTGCGCGTTAATTAATCACGTTCGACACAAATATTCTTATTGCAACCATGTAAACAAGTTTCTGTTCACATTGTTAGCTACAATAACACATTCGCAATATGTAATACACGCAGTAATTCAGTTACAATAGCGCGCTGAAGTTCGATTACCTTTATTTTGATACACCCTCAGATAAAATCAACATACAGTCCAACCTCCTACCCAGGGCCTGCCCGCCCGATTTTCAAAGCGTCCCGCTTTGGCGGCCATATTAGAAAATCGGGCCGGCTGGCCCTGGTTATATGGTTGCATTCAGTCTGGAACACACTGGAAGTTATTTATAGCATAATTACTGCGTATCAGATTTGATTGACAGGCGTATCTATTTCAACCAATGGGAATTTTGCGTTGTGTGGGCAACGTGTATTTTATTTCTTGGTGTAATTTGTGTAATATGTGTTGTCTGCAGTCCCTCCTTTCCTTTCGCATGCCCGGAATTCTAAACCCGCGGAAAGGAGAAGCCGCTCGCAGTCTGCTTGCTGTCCGTCCGTCAATAGAGGATGTTGATGGAGTGCATTGTGAGTCGTCGTTCATTCAATTTCGGTTACCGTCAGTCGTGAAAACACTAAAAAATTTAACCGGAAGCGTGAGGAAAGAAATACTGTTTATCGTTTCTGAACACTTTTCAGCAGATTCAAAGATTTACTGTTAAAATATCATATTTTTACCGTTAAAATACCATAATGTTTACCGTTTACCGATTTTAAGACCCCCCCCCCCCCACATCTAGACCCTCTCGATAGTTATTTATATATCTTCATACATGACCATAGATATCTTATATACACTAGATAGCGCATCTTTTTTAGTAAAATTGAAGCCAAGAATATTCCAGCGGTTACCCCCATTTGAATAGATGACGGCCATGTTAATTGGTCGTTCCCATGCACTTGCTAATAAACGCTTAAAAACAGCAATAACTTTCATCATTTGAATAGTTTAAAAACGTATCTGGAATGGGGTTTTAAACTTAATGTTTAAGTTCCCTGTTTAAGAAATAGAAAACGTACGAATCTTCTCATTTGATGGGAACGACCTGAGACTACAATCACGGTTTCGATTTTTGAATTGCAAAATAATTAGATGCACTATCTGACTAGTGTATATATACAATCATATATATAAAGATAATACTTACGACAAAATCGAACATTGAAGACAATGATACATATTACTTTCATGCCTCCATACAGTTCAAAGGTATTCTTGATTTCATGTAGACCAATGGAGAAATTGCGTGGCGACTTTATGTTTGGTTCAACCTTTTGACGATTAAGTAGATATTTATGCGGGCAAGTGAAGTTAGGCTTGCTCCACGACCATTGGATTGGTTTCTTATCGAACACAATGCGGCTAACTTCTCGCTCTGTATAATAATGACATGCGCATCTGCCTTCTATAATGAAAGAAAATTGAAGAATTTTAAGGACTATTTAAAACGTTTTATGGTCGTTTGACTTTCGTCCCCTTGGCCTTGCCGTTTCGTCCCCTTTACGTTTCGTCCCCACACTAGACACCATTTTATCTATAAACTATTTGGTATAACTAATTTTGGCGGCATTTTGCATCATAGCGCTCGTCTAAGGAAGCAAAAAACTTAAAAATCCAGCCCCCCTCGACGAACTGACGTCCGTGTTGACAAAAACATTGCAAATCTTAAGCAGTTAATCACTAATGGCAGTCATTGCCATTGGTCTAGTTTTCCTCATGCAGACTCAGTTCCAATTTAAATAAAGTAAAGTCAAGTGTCACTATAATAGTCACTGACAACAGCAATATTAATATTGTGAAATAAAAGCCAAATATTTAAGTTTATAAGTGACATTTCAAAGTTTCGGAATTTAAATATAAAAATGTGTATTATCCAGGCATACAATCGACTGAGATACAGTAAAAAGTAAGATATATTGTATTAAGGAAGTAGGTTATAGATAAAACAGTATCTATATAGTGTGGGGACGAAACATGAAGGGGACGAAACGGCAAGGGGACGAAACGACTAGTTACCTTTAAAACACAAGAAGGAGTGTTTTATCGGCTATACAAAGACTAGAGATGTTTCGCGAAATATTGCCCCGAAAAATTCACGAAATTAAGTGCGAATAAGGTGTCTATTCCGCAATGCATGCATGAATATTTAGCTGTTGAATAGAGGATAGATGCTTTTAACTGAATGAGCCAGCTGAACATGAGGTCGGTTAAGAAGCAGCCCTGCTTGTTGGACTAGCTCTATGTTCAAAGCCCATATAGCTTATTGTTATATAGTAGTGAAGTGTCGATCACGTGATCATTTGCCGGCAATTGCATTGTGTTTAGGGAAGCCTCACATATCGATTTTGTCCATGAGAAACGTCATATGTTCGTTTCTCTGGAGACCCCCCCCCCACTCCCCCTTAGAAACGTCACGTATAGTTATCGATATTTTGTTCTTTATACAGCACACATAAGGTAATTTTTTACTATTTTCTACGGTTGGCTATTGGCGATGCTTCCGTGAAGAATATGTCATCAAAATTTCCAACGTTTCTCAAAACAACTTTTTTTTGCATGAAATATTGATAATTTTAGCGCGTTTTTCTTGAAATTTGAGTGTTTTCAATACAAGCCAGGCGTAATAATATAAATGTATACGTATATAGAACAGGTATGGTATTACGAATGCAATTTTTTTATTCTGCAAAGATGATTCCGAAATGTTAAGGCTTTCGAAAAAACTATCGAATTTTTCCATGACGTTTACTGAGAAACGTCACAGCTGCAAATCCCCCCACCCCCAAACGAACATATGACGTTTCTCGTGGAAAAAATCGATTTGTGAGGCTTCCCTTACAAGTTGTCATTTCGCAGTAAAAATGGCGAGCTTTGTGAAAGTGACTATATAATAAAAAGAACACTACACGGTGGCTTGAAGATATGAATTTTATCTTCTCGTGGTAAAAAACAATATTTTACTCATTCGCTGCACTCAAGTAGCTTTTCTCACGCCGCCATGTTTGGGTGACTTTTCAGCCGAAGTCTGCGAGATAAGTCTACACATGGATGGTAAAATAACATGGTTATTTTACAATTCATGCATGATCCACATAAAGGCGGTTTTCCACTAAGCGAAATTTTTCGACCGAATCGAAATTTTCTTTTGTCAAACAAGCACTCAGATGGAACTAAACAGAAATCGTTTGAATTTGAACAATAGAACTTTCCGGTTCGATCGAAAAATTTCGCCTAGTGGAAAACTGCCTTAACATGAACAGCGACTTTTTATAATTTTTTTGGACGAATAATGGTAAATTTGCTTTGTAAATGGTTAGTTTATTAAAAAAAAAAATGCTTTTCATATTGTTTCAATTGTCTGCATTGGTTAACGAGAATTAGATGCCACTCAAAAATGGCGGATATTCGTCATTGTGCATGAGAAAGGCTAATTCGTAAAATTTGTTTCACCACTCGAAGATAAAATTCATATCGTCGCGCCGCCGTGTAATATCCTCTCTCTATATATAAGTTATTTCATTTTTTGCCTGATGTAGCTACGTCAAAGAACTTACCCACAATGGGACACCACTTTATATAGTTTTCATATCGCTGTTCAAGATAACCAGCTGTAGCCTTACAACACAATGAAGCTCTCAGACTATCTTCATTTAAACATTCTCTTTCCCATTTTTTCCTGTCGTTCACGAATTCAGACCATCCTCTTCTGCAAAATTCAGTCTCGTTCTCTTCCTCTCCGAAAACGATATTTGAGGCAAAGTAAAACATTATAACCGTCGCCAAAACTTCTTGACAGTTGCCGAATATGATTGGTTTGTGTTTGTTTTGTTTAACTCTCATCCTATGAACAGATTATAAAATGGATGATGTTAATTGGTGGCAACAATGGCTAGGCATGTGCTTTTTCACCACTGGGAAACGAGTTTGTTCACTTGCAGTTATAGGGACCGCCAAGGGATTTTGTGATTGAAGTGGAGGTATAGAGGTGGAGTTGACTGTTGAGATGGGGCTAGGAGGGTGTGAGGTCTTGTATTGCCAGAAAATTTACAAGCCCGCGGAAAGTGCCTTTCCTGCTATTTTTCACTGTCAACCGTGATATAATATCGGTGACATGTCTACTGTAATTTAGATTCATAGAGAATTATAAGATCATCTCATGCACACATGACTATGGGGCTTCGGTGGCCAAGTGGTTAGCGCACTTGCCTTTCACCTCTATAAAGGCCGCAGGTTCAAATCTCAGTGAGAACTTCTCAATGTGGCTCGAACCCAGTCCTCATGTGAAAAGAGTAAAGTCAACGCTCTGCCGAAAGTCGTGGGTTTTCTCCGGGCACTGCGTGTTTCCTCCCACAGGGAAAGTTGACAGGGTGGGTTATAATAGGCTCATAGGTCTGAGGCAGATCATTAATGGGGTATGGACTAATAGCGGCTGCTCAAGCGCCATTTGTAAGCTCAAAGTCTACCTCGGTTCTATCTATCTATTCATAATGTAACCAGTATGGAGTGTGCTGTAAAATATCTGTAATCTACTGTAAAAATTACACAAATCATTATTTATGGGAAATGGCATTAAGCTAAAGGTTGATTTGCTCTTAAATAATGAATTTGAAACATCGGTTCTACTCAATAGTTGTGCCTAAATGTCATTGTGGATTGGTGCGTCATACAGTAGAAAACGTGTAAAATGCATTCAGAATATGGCAGGATGAACGTTCACTTTTCATGGGTTTTTATGCTGATAATTTATCTTCATTCATGTGTGAGAATAAACGAACATTCAGAGTGCTTCTATTTCATTGCAAGGAACACCGTAGGCTTTCTCTGAGGACAAATTACACTTTATCAATAAGGGTTGCCGATTAATGGACTCCTAGGGCGAACGTGAGTTACTGAGTTGGAACCTATATCGGAAAACTGCGTACGTACTAGTTTAAATGATTGATGGCCCTGATACATGCACTTGCCTGTTGCCACAGTGCTACTAATATTAATTAAACTACACTAGATATGAACATTTTAATGGTATACATTTTTTTACCTGTTATTCAGCTCAAAGACATCCGAAGCTCAGGTTCCTGCGTTGAACAACGAAAACAAGTGCTGCTTTGTTGTGTCGATCGAGATGCCAATATGTGCCTGTCGATATAGACTGTAGTACCAACCAGATGTTTCAAGCTTTCCTCGCAATATTTCTAAGCTTATTTCTAAACTAATATTATAAGCTGCCGTGACAAAAAGATTTAAAACATTTCGATGTTTAAGGAGAAAACACTTCTTGCTCAAACAGAAACCATGATAGCCTATTATAGAATACTACCCAACATGTACCACCACGTTTGAGATCCTACACTGCATGGACCACCTGCACGTTTGAGATATCTTTTTCAGGTAGTTCAGACAGAAACCACGGCAGCTTATTGTGAATACTACCTATACACTGGACCACCACGTTTGAGATATCTTTTTCAGGTAGTTCAGACACAAACCACGACAGCTTATTGTAGAATACTACCTACACTGGACCACCACGTTTGAGATATCTTTTTTGGGTTTAGACACAAACCAAAGTAACTGGTATGCGATACGTGTCGCAAAGGCTAATGGGTAAAGTAATCGCTTTGGGAGCATCGTTTGGGAGTTATAGCATTGTCAGTTTAATTTGGCAAAGATGAACTGCTACGCATTATGGTTTATCTTTGAATAAAACTTTTTCGCGTGTAAAACACGATATTACGACACAATATATGCAAATATCGCCTGTAAGATGAACAACATCTGTTTAACCGTAGGGAATTGAATATCAATAACGACGCTGTTTATATATGTCCATATTTGTCAATTGCGTATTTGTCTGTCACGTCTTTCAAAAAGTACTTAAATAGCCCAAGATGGCGGGATGCAGTCTATAAGTATGAGTTGGATTTTGATAAAATACTATCTTTCGGAATCTCGAACTTACCAATTTTCTTTGTAGTAATACCAACTCTACGACTGCGCCTGGGGAGACCTAGAATAAATTGCGCAAACTTCCAGTAATCCTTCGTTCACAACTGATTACTAATTCCTCCGCTAAATATGTTATACTTGCATGCGTCTGAGACATAACCATATGTTGAGAAAATACAAGTGTGATCTAGTTAGTTTGTCTCTGTCTGCAAAATATTTGACAAGTAGATAAGATTTTGCCGTTGTCTGTTCAGTTATAGATACACAATATGACGTCATAATGTGGGAAGAACACTAAGTGGCTCACGAGCCGCCGAGGCGAGTGGGACAGTAGCATAGCGTTCTGTGATCTAATTGGCTGGTCGCAGTCACATGTCGCACGCCACCTGTCTTTTTTAGTTCAGTGTTATGCGAATGCCATAAAAGATAATTAGCACCCAACCTTTTGGTACATACCTATCAATAACACAACAAACTATATGCCATGAACAAAATATTAAGCAAAAATCTTTTAATTAATCCTTCACAGTTACAAGATCTTTAACAATCATATAAGAACATCATTGTTTTATTACTCTAAGTTTATAGACATTATAGTTTAGTTTACACTAGCTTTAACCACAGTCCCATGGTTACGCTCTATCTAATCCGTAAAGAGTTCCTTAATTAAGTGTTCACCAGTGTGTAAGAATCTGCGCATCTCTCAATTCGAGTATCGTAGTTAATAGTTAATACTTTCACTTGCGAGCTACCAAAACCAACTCTACCGCACAGTTACCCTACGGAAATTAAATAGAACACAATGAAAGAGTTGCACCCAGTGAACTGGAACGATAACTCCAGCTAAACGGCTGATTGGGTGAAACCAAGATCTCGAGTTATCTCTTGTAGTTATAAAACACCCGTGCATGGGCTTCGCGGGAGCTAAAAATGACTTCCGATCGATTCAATTTTTGCACGTAAATGCTCATTTTAATGGTAAATTTGTAAATACCCTACGGTCCCTACTTGAAAGCTAGAAACGAAATGAAAGGAAAGATTGATGCAATTGTACTCCATATTATTTTGTGTTTAGTCCAGAAAAGTTTGCTGGTGTTTTTTTTTTGACTCGTCAATAACTTTGCTTTTATGATGATGTGTTTCTAAAATTTGCTTATTCTGAAAGATCACTTGCTCTAGTGGTACGGGTACCAATTTTATCCGTGCCGTACCAAAAATTGAGCGTAGTTTTGAACGGGGGTTTAGAGCCATGGTAAAGCCAGGTTTAAAAAATAGTCGGCCAAATTTTTTGTACTCAATTGGGGCCTATGTAGGACATACCCGGCTACAAGACGGGTTTCAATTATCTATGGTTTCAATTCCCGCTATTTTTGGCTTCAAAAACACGGCCGAGATTATCCAGCTTCGTCTGTAGTAATACCACAGAATATAGAGACTATACAGAAGCACGGCTGTGATAATACTAAGCCATACTGTCCTCACGGGACCTCTAGAAGGTTAGAACTGACCGAGTTAGCCAGTACTAGTTTAAGGTCCGTTTAAGTCACATACAATATTTTGTATTTGTATAAACATACACGCACAGCTAGAAGAATCTTTGACTTATCTTTGAGGCTATTGTCGGATTATTTTACAGTAGGTTTGATAACAGGGAAGTATACTTCGACATATTTCTTGAGCATCAAGTTTCAGCGAAGTCAATGGCAATGTTGGAATTGGGAAATTTCACAGCGCTTTTACATAATAACAGTCCGAGTAGCATTGTTTACAAGCAAGGTTTGTTCCGTTTGTAGTTTGCGATATTTCAAAAATCAAAAGATCTCTCCATTTCGTTACAATTCCACATCTCAGTATTAAATAATGCATGAGTCAATTCCTGGAGTAACCATCCCCCCCCCCCCGGGAATTTGCCTGATAGACAGTTGGCGGAGGTCGGGAATTTGCCTTTCATATACGTGCACGGGGGCCGGGTATCATTATAGTCGCTAAGGACCCCGGGGATGTGACAAATGGTTGCCCAGAATCCTACCCGCAAATTTTAAGGCAGCAAAACCCAGTTTCAGGCACGCATGTGGGCGCGCTGATCGTATTTTGCGCCCTCGTGGTCAAGGTGGCGTGAAATTTAATGTCAGAATAAGCGAAAATTATAACCTGTGCCATGCAAATTTAAATACAACTATTGAAGGTTTATGATTTTATTGTTTAATTTAAATACTTTTAACCACTCTTAGCAAGATTCAAGTTTATATTAAAGTTTTATAATATTCCATAGCAGTTTAATACTATAATGTTATTAAATGACTATTATGACTATGCTATTATATGTCATTAAAAGTTTAATTAACGTTTAAAATCGTCCTCGGGGTGGGGCATTTTCCGCTCTCAGCTTGCCCAAGGGCCGTGCATTAGTCTTCAAGTTGTATCCCGGCACCCGGGCATTTACACTATCGTAACCAATCAAATCAAATGTCCGGATATGTTCCCGGGGAGGGGGGATGGTTACTCCTAGAATTGACTCATGCATTACTGTCGAACTATCAATCCGGGTTTCGAGCATCATATAGTACGTTACAGCTTTATTAGAGTCGACTAATAACTGGTGCGTAAATATTGATAAGGGTTTGCTTAATGGAGTGATTTTCGTTGACATAAAGAAAACTTTCGATACAATTGATCACGAAATTCTTATACGTAAACTCAAGTGTTATGGTGTAGATGACAATGCGCTATCGTGGTTTAATTCTTATTTAAACAATCGAAAACAGAAATGCTACGTAAATGGGAAACTCTCTGGTAGTCGTTCTATCTCCAATGGAGTTCCGCAGGGCACTAGTATAGACCCACTTTTAATTTGTTTTTTATCTATATCAATGACTTGCCTAACTGCTTGAACGAGGGTTTACCTAGAGTGTATGCTGATGATACGAACATCAGCATGCAAAGTAATAATCTTTCTGAGCTACAAAATCTTATGAATGCTGAAATAGCCAATTTAAACACATGGCTAGAGGCAAATAAGTTAAGGTTAAATATTGCCAAGACTGAATTTATAATTATTAGATCTCGACAAAAACTTTCAACCTTTGATAATCAGAATGTGGAAGTATGTGTTAATAATAAACAGATTAATAGAGTGTTGAAGTCTAAATCATTGGGTTTGACAATTGACGAGAACTTGACTTGGAAATATCATGAAACTGCAATTCGAGTTTACCAAAGTTTGGTGGAGTCCTATTTTTCCTATTGTGCCCATTACAAAAATTACAGAATAGAGCCGCACGTGTTATTACCCATTCATCTTATGATATTTCATCAAGTTCTCTTCTTGAAGAACTCAATTGGGAATCGATGTCCACTAAGCGATTAAAGCAAAAGGCAATCCTCATGTTTAATACTATTAACAAACATACACCATTCTATTTATAAGAGATGTTTTCTCCTAGTGAGAGTGTTTATAACCTCAATAAGAATCTCTCAGGTTAGATTCTTATGGTAAACTCTAAGCCCAAAAACCACGCACAGATTGTTTGAAACGCTCCTTTAGTCACAGTGGAGCCTCTTTATGGAATGGCCTGCCAGAATCTCTCAGATCAGTAACCTCTCTCGCCCACATTTTTGTGGGCGTGGTCACATGTTTCTGGGCGTAGCCACAATTTTTTGTTCTATTCGTTGAACCTTTTTACTTTTCGATCCACACGCGTCTGTCGATAGTTCAATTTAGCCATATTTAACGTGTTTTCGACGGGAAAAAGTATGAAAACATATACCATAAGTAAAGTAAACAGCAGATGACAACAATTCGAAGTATTCAAGAAATATTACAAAGCTTGTAAATTGCTATTTAAAGAAAATATTCCCTTTGGCCGTCCATGGGTGTCCATTAAAATTTAGCAGTCCGAACTCAGAAGTGGCCGTCCGTAGGACGGTCGGACGGCCGCCTAGCTAACACCCTGTTAATGTGTGTATGTTCGCTGGTTGGCCGCTAATCTCTCACTGCGGGCACACGTTGCCATGAAAATAAGGCCCAGGCCAGGGCCGAAAGTGTTTACATTTCTACAAGCCTAGACCACCGGTTGTAGTGAGCTCAGATTTCCTGGCCTAGGTCAGGCCAAGGCTAGGCCAAGGTCTGTTTACACTGTCCAAATGTAGGCCTAGGTCAGGCCAAGGCTGGTAGTGTAAACACGACTATATATATTATCTATTAGTATCTAGAATAATCTATCGTCTAATTTGGTTCATACTTATTTAAAAGAGCAATTGCCCTTGGGATAAAAGATTGTTCATGTCTTTTAGTGTGTGATATTGTGTATGGAATACCAGAGTTTCTTCTCAGATCATGAGTATGAGATGTTGGCAAAGGGATAAACTTATGACAGGATCGGATGAGTAGCATCAATTTGAATTCGTTTCAGTTCCTCCATAGCAATATGGTCTCTTGTCTCTCATAATGATTTTAAATTATCCAGGGATTCTATATATTTTTAGATATCTATTTTGCGTACTCTCGATTTCGTCCGCAAGGTATTGTGGCAGACCGCCCCAAATTGCTGCTCCATATTCTAGCACGGATCTTATCTTTGATAGATAGCATGCGAGGCCAACTCAACAAGAATACCTGGACTTTAAAATAAAACAAGTCTTGGAACGGTAGAAATGTTTTAAACGGCTTTTTTTCGATGTTGAATAGCGGTGTTTTCTTCGTGACTTCAGCCGTCCTAATTTTCATCATTTTCAACGATATAAAACGGAAATTTCTCAAATTTTTGCCATAAATAAATGTAAAACAAGTCAGGACTGTTGATAAAACCAGGATTGATACTTTTGAATTGTAGCCAAAAGGTGCAAAATAGATTTTCTTGGTTTTACTTCCTGGTATAACTCATGATCAAATTTGCCCCCGGCATTAGCAAACTTCAATTTGTCCCTTTCGTTTGCCTGAAATTTTCCTGTAATGCCCAGTCGATTCTTTTATTATCTCTATGTCAATTTGTGTCTTTCGTTTGATTGAATCTACCCCGCAATGCTCCCTTTTTTATAATCTCTATGCGAATTGCAAGATACTGATTAAAAAGTTGTAAAAGATCTTTAGTTATTATCACTTTAATACTGGCAACAGTAAACTGAACAGGACATTTGAGACACAGAATACTACACAGAAGTCCATCTCCATTGTTTTTTTGCGTAAGCGTTATTCGTCATGATTCGTCACTCAGCAAGTACCGTAAACAGAAGCAGTCCCCCCCTGGAAATACTCAAAATGGCGCACGTCCAGGGGGGTTACTGCTTCTGTTTACGGTACTTGCTGAGTGACGAATCATGACGAATAACACTTACGCAAAAAACAATGGAGATGGACTTTTGTATTCTGTGTTTGAGATCTACATTCTTTCCAGCATCGTCAGTGTACGAGCTCGTCTAGCTCGAGTAAGTAATCGCGTGTTTGCCCAGGCCAATTGCAAATCTATCTCCAGGCTTAGCATTAATAGGTGGATCCACGGTATGAGAAGCACCCCCGGTGCATGTTATTGGGACTACCCATTCGACCTGGGTTGTGATTTCACCTTTTTTCATATATTTTGTAAATGTTACCTGCCACCACTATCGCCTTTGCAGACTGGAGATAAAAGAAAAATGATACTCATGTTAAAGGGAAGTAGCAATGAAAACTGAGTTCATCTATTTGGAAGAGAGATTCAATATATTTCAAAAGCTTCTTACAGGTATTCTTTATCGTTCTTGGAAAATATTCGCCATCTTGGATATCCATAACTCTGGTCGGATATGGTGACGTGACAACAAGGGAACATTAATTTTTATCTTGAGGATATTCTCGAGTTATTTTAATGCTTAATCCTATTTTTTAACTATTGTCTGTTTTAAATTAAAGCACAAGCTATGTATAAGCTTTTCAACGATATTATTTTTTTAGGTTTCAAATATCTAGCCTGTAAGCGTTAAGAACGTAAAGATGCTGGGAAAACTAAAGAAGTTTATGAGGTTCTGCAGCGGTACTGTCGAAGACACCATCCTTATGCATATGCTCCATTGCTCATTGCAGTAGACCTATATAGTCCCGTTGGTCTAGGGACGATGATGCAAAGGCACAAGTATCGAGTGCCAAAAATACGAGACCCCTAGGGAGTATGGGGACATGCTCTCCCGGAAAATTGTGAGATTTAGAGCCTCTGCATGAAACGCCACTCCGTGCACTTTGGGGGAAGATTTTACCTAACTCTGATGGTCAGAAAACGACTTATATCAGAATAGCAAATTTTAAAAATTTGCTTAAACTTGGACTGCTAGGTTTTTTGTACTCAACATGATTTGAATGTATTTTTGCCCAACAAAGTATTGAATATCTGATAATTTTGCCCTACAAGATTGCTTTTCTCAAACGTTAGGGGGTTGTCACACCCCCCCCCACCCCCTCCCCCACAGGATTTACGCTCCCGTACTCACATCCTGTTCAGCTGCAATTTCTCCTGACGCATGAGAACGCGTCATTTGGATACGCAGTTGGAATTGGCAATTGGTTTATAGCGTAAATTTCGACCTTTGCAGCACTCACCTGCTTTCGGTTTGCACAAAATATTAAATAGCTTATTCACTAGTTTGTCCACATCTTTGTCCAACGTCTCCAACGACGTTTCTGCTACTTCGCTTGAGTCTGTTACCCAGCTTTGAATGTCCTTTTTGAACGTTTTAATCAGCTTGGGTGTTCCAGCTGCCACGCCTACAATTGTAACGTGCTTCTCCTTCAGTTTATTCGTTTCAGTAACAACCATTGCTTTCTCCACTTCACTTCCTTTTGGGCTTCGTGGTTCTCCGTCGGTGAACAACAATACAACATCCTGTACTGTATCGCGGGCATTTAAAGGACTTGTTTGACTAAACATCTTTAAAAACAAGTTGATTAAGAGGTGATTTATTTGTATGTTCCTAACAATTGATTGGCTATTTGAATTTTATAATTTAATTCGATTGATTGGCTAAGGTCAGCACTTCGATAAGATTGGTTGAAAATGAGGATGCGTGCGATCTAACTTCAAAATGGTGCAAGTTGGTTTTAAAATGTCACAATTTCTTGTTTCGGCTCGAGTTTGTACATATCATATCTGATACAACGCGGCCGCTCGTGCTGTATATATATATATTACATGTCAAATAAATGTAATATATATATAGTTAACTCATCGTTGCTGTGGCAACACTTGAAGCACAACGCGAGCCTGTGTTCAATGTTGGCCAATTACTTCATGTTAATCAATTTTTTGAAAATATACGCGAAGGGTTGCTTCATGCATGTATTTCAAGTACGCAAGCCGGCAAACTTAGAAGAAGTTATTGAAGAAACACACATGGAGGTGGAACGGGGTTTGAACCTGCATAATTTTTTAAAAACTAGTTAGAAATGGCTAAAGGATGGAACAGAAACATCTATTGAAACACGTTTATCGAAATATCACAATTCGTTGTGAGTGCTTAAATCCAAATCAAACACTTCGTGCCCGTGCCCTATACGCACCAATCGCTTTAGCTGATGTAAAACAATAGCAACACAAAAGAATTTCTAACTGTGATCCTAAAACAAAGAAATTTTAGAAGTTTCCTAACCATGTATTTTCATTCATTAACTCAGGTGGCTACTTTAACATGGTGTGTTTTTACAAGCAAAACGTTGACTTACATTGTTTGCTATCTGAAATGCAAGACCTGTCCTGGTATGATCGCCCATCAGTTCTCTTCCATAGCTAATCTTTTTCAACCAATCTATTAATTCTGTTGGATCTGGTATGTCGCCAACGTCCAACAATTTCTTGGTTCTAGTTGAATTTGAGAATGTGATGAAACCAAATTGTGTGCTGTCTTTACGCACATTCATTTTTTCGACAAGTTTTATTAGGAATTTCTGTATGTTTACAAAATATGTTGACCCAACAGAATTGGAACTGTCCAACATGATGAGAATATCTTTATGGCAACCTGAAATAATATGTAATGGGAATGGATAGATAGGTACAGCTTATTATGTAAAGCCTAAAGGTATTAGAATTGGTAATTAATAAGGACGGATTATATAAGTTTCGAACTGATAGAGCTATCCAGTATAAATAAAGTTAGTTTAGTTCAAATTTCTTCCTGTACAATCATGGAAATTAATTCGTAGACAAAACAATAATTTCCCAAATGTCCCCCCCCCCCTATACAATGTTGATGTGTGCATGATCATGAGTTCACTACCAAAGGTTTATGTTACTGCATGACCAATATATTTAACAACTGGCCTCCAACCAGGGGCGTAGGAAGCTTCTAAAAGTGGGGGGGGGAAGGCTTTGAGGGGCACTTTCCGAATAAAAAAGGGCATCTAAAAATTTTTCACGGAAATGTTGGCGACGGTGGGGGGGGGGGAGGTCTCAAAAATTTTTTCCGGACATACCAAAAAAATTTTTCCGGATATATCCAAATTTCCTAATATGAAAAAAAAATTTCGGATATATCATATTTTTCCCGGAAATAAAAAAATTTTCCGGAAAATAACCGAAATTCAAGTTTTGAAAAGTGCCCTTTGGGCAAAAAAAGGCAATCCTTAAAACATTTTTCACGCAAGAAAAGGGCACTTTGCTCCCGGAAAAAGGGCACTTGGCAAAACTTGGAGGCCTTCCCCCCCCTGCCCCCCTGTTCCTACGCCCCTGCCTCCAACAATGCTAAATATGTATGCTTTTTATAAGAGTCTACGTATATTATTTCCATGATTGTCTAAATTTCAAGAAAAATTTGATCTTTGCAGATTTAAATGTAAATCATCACACAAACTCCAAGGCAAAGGCTATACGACATGTTGTGAATATGCATGAAGGTTTCATAATGTCTTCAAAGTATTATATAGAGAATAATACATGCATGGGTGCGCGCAGCGAACGAGTGAGATATCATGTTCAACACGAGAAATAAATCTGGTATTTCCAAGCACCCATGCATTTTTCTGTTTATTACAGTATATAAAGGACAGTCTTTGAAAAGCGACAATTTTTACAGAAAAGCGATAATTGAAAAGCGATAATTTTCACATGTGAAATTATCATAAATAATCTCGCATGTGAGATTATCAGTTTTATCAATGCTCGAAATATCTTTTAGCACTATACTTTATATAATAAAAACAGATAATCATGACAACTGAATATTTAAACTTACATCTTATTCGGGCGCTGCTTTCTTCAAGGCGACCCTCTTGTAGACGAATAAAAACGTTTACGTAATTGTTGCCTTTGAGTTTATATAAATTTTATAAGCTTTGGTTAGGTCTTGTAAGCGTTTGACTTCTCATATTTATACATATTAAACTCATATTTACCACCGCGCACATCTATATAGTTCATTAGCTTAATATGGACATTAATTAGTTAATTAACTAATGAGACATTGGATTGAAAGAAAGATTTACTTACGTGGTTTTCGCGTGGTGGCAACTTTGCAAACTTTATTGACGATTTCGAAGACGATATTTTCAAGGTTCGCAAAATCGATCATTTTCATGTCATCCGGGCTCGATGCAATGTTTAGCAGCTCGCGTTCGAGGCCGTATTTCACCCTCTGAAGATCGTATCCTACGCCGATGGCAATGATCCGCACTCCGTTGTCTTTCAGGCGCTTGGCTTGATCGATTGTCCGCTGAGGATTACGAGACTGACCATCTGTGAGCACGACCACTATATCTGGAACGTCCAAACGATCTCCGCTTGTCTCCGTGAAACCCTAGGTGTTTAATGTTGAAGTAAGGTTAAATTGCTTTTCTTTTCTTTTTTTTTTTAAATATTTTTCGCCCAAAATATTACATATACAAGGAATAGATATATACATAAGAAATGGGCTAGGAGCCTACTAGAAACCACATGGCTTTTTTTTAGGCCCCTAGGTTTATTATTTAAGCTATATCAATAAATTTAAGCTCGTGTCAGTTCGAGTGTTTTTCAGATAATTATTAAGGAAAAGAAGTATAATATAATACATATGAATAATTATATTTACAAAAACATATTATATTGTTAAATCTAGTTGTAAAAAGTACTTTTTAATTATTGATTTGAAGGAAGCATAAGACCTAGGTTCTTTATTTTTTGGGGAAGATTATTCCACACATCTATGCCTTTATTGGCAAGACTATGTTTGGTATAGTTTGTTTTATACTCCTTTTGTGTAGCAACGAAGAATTTCTTGTGTTATGATTATGAATTTGCTTATTTGTCAAAAAATAGTTTATGAATAATTCTGGTAGATTCTGTAGATGAAAATACCGAAACATGAATATACTCGTTAATTCAAACACTCATTAATAATTCATAAGCTAATTGACAAATCATGTCAACCATAATATGTCACGTGCAGTGACTTTAAACCTGATGAAACACTCCTAATTAGTATTCTTTATACAAAGAATACTAATAAGGCAGTATCTATTGTAGTCGTGTCCTCATTAGTATTCTTTATATAAAGAATACTAATAAGGCAGTATATCTATTGAATTTGTAGTCGTGTTTGAAGCAGTTTAATAAACTCGCAGGTCGTGTTTTATTAGGTCTAAAGCCACTCGCGCAGCGCACTCGTGGGTTTAAACCTAATAAAACACTCCTGGTCGTTTATTCAACAGTACATAATCATTTATTTTATATAAATTGAGTATTTGTAAGTCATTAAAAATTGGTTCTGAATGATCGAAATAAGATTTGAAAGTCATTAATCTGACAATCTTTTTTTGAATATTCACTAACTTTTGAAAACGTGATTTATAGGTGTTACCCCAGAGTAAATTACCATAAGTTAGGTATGGATAGACCAAAGCATAATATATTAGCTTTAAGGAATTTAGGTTTGTGAAATGTCGAATCCTGGAAATAATTGCCACACATTTGATAATTTTTTTCGTAATCAAATCCAACTGATTACTCCATGTCAGAAATTGGTCAAGGACAATTCCTAGAAATGTGATGTTTTTTACTTGTCTTATATTTTATTATTGATTGAAATGTTTATTAAACCATTAAGTTTCTTATTTTTTTATCTAAAAAGAATAAATTTTGTTTTTTCAGTGTTTATAGATAGCTTATTGGCATTCAACCAATCTGTAATTTCATTCATTTCATTTTGAATAATTTCGTTCAACTTTTTAAGACAAGTATGACTATAAAGAATGTTTGTATCATCAGCAAATAAAACGATGGAAATCAGTTCACTGCAGTATTGAATATCATTTATGTATAAAATAAACAATAAAGGACCCAACACTGATCCCTGTGGGATACCGCTTAAAATAGTCATTTCCTCCAATTGTACTCCATTATATTTGACTATTTGTTTTCTATTGTGTAAGTAATTTTCAAACCATTCTTTGGCCACTCCCCTGATACCATAATGTTCCAATTTCTTTATCAGAATCTTGTGATCAATTGTATCAAATGCCTTTGATAAATCAAGGAAAATACCAATTGAGTATTTTCCTTCGTCAATTGCTTGGGTAATTTTATTGGTAAAGTCAATTAATGCATATTCTGTCGATCTATTTTTCCTAAACCCATATTGATGTTTTGATAATATTTTGTTTTTATCAATAAATTTTGATAGTCGATTAGTCATAATTTATTTCGTTTTACGCTTCGCGTAAAGGCGCTATACAGTGGTGCGGAATTTCATTTCACGTATAAACACAAACGTGAAATGAAATTGCCCTAGAGGAACTAGATGAAAATACGAACAAAAGCACCAAATCTTGCTTTAACAAAAGAACTAAATGAAAATACGAACAAAAGCACCAAATTGGAGTGGGCTTTGACGAGAGAATATGATGTTGACATTGAGAAGTACGTATCCAATTTTGTCATGCTAATAATAAACAAGTAATCATGCGATGTTGCTCGTACAATTAGGGATTAATAGTACTCGTGATGTTTGGAAATTTGCCAAATTGGACTCGCCCCGGCGGCTCGTCCAATTTTGGCAAAATTTCCAAACATCACTCGTACTATTAATCCCTAATTGCACTCGCCATCGCATGATTACCTATACCAATGATTTTCCTAATTATATATTTAACACAGGCCTTATCTGAGTTCAAACGTTCCAACATTTGTATAAAAGCTGAAGATTCTTTTTCAAAAACACCGAGTGCACTGATTGAGAGATTAATGAACTTTACCGGATGGAATTTTTTCTTTTGTTCTATGATCATCTCTTTATATTTTGAGTATTTGCGCTGTACATTATTCCTTAGGTTAGTCTCACATCCAACGGTTAGTTCGAGTACATATAGACAATTGTCTTTGGTCAAAATTAGTAGATCAGGACGATAGTCATCACCAGTAATAATAGAGGGATTAGAGAATGATGGTAAGTCAGCATAAATGGTCTGAATATGTTCAAATGGGAGGTTAGTAGCAATAAAATTTAGGATTGAGTCGTGCCTCCAAGTAAAACGATCAAGGTAGGAACTACAGCCGGCAACAACGTGTAACAAAGATTCAGGTTTAAGGCAAAACGAGCATTCAGAGGATGAGGACAGTCCCCATCTTTGAAGGTTTTTGCGGGTTGGTAGCGAATTGTTTATGTAGCGAATAGTGAAGTTGAAAATGTTTTTTGGTAGTTTGGATTGACAGGTTGGCCAAATCGAATTTACTTGGGGTAGTAAAAATTTTGAGATGCTGGAGAAGAATGAACCTTGGCATTTTAACTGATTTTCCAATTTATCTTCTTGAATTTCACGGAATGACTTAATTACTTCTTTTGTCGACGTATACTGATCATATTGGGTGTTAGTATACTTAGTATGATTACAGGTCGATTTCCAGCGGTGGGTTATTGATTCATTGAGAGATGACTTCAGAGCACAGCGGATAGTTGTTTGACATTGTACGAATTTAGTTGATGGGGGGATAATGTTCAGACCAAATTTGTTAGTATAGTTAGGTAAATATTGCTAAGTGATCGAGAAATAGGTACCTCAAGCCATTTACGAATGTACTGTTTGAAAACTGAGTCCAAGTTTTCAGAAATCCACGTTTTTTTTTAATTGATGTTATAGTGAAATGCCATGAGAGTTTTGAAAGAACGTAGCGACTGTAAAGAAGAATCTTGTTTCTCGGATGTAATGGCTTCAGATCTATTTCTTTCATTAGGTCTGTCAATAGGGATACTAATTCCGATTTATGTTCATTATAATAATAATAATAATAATAATAATAATAATAATAATAATAATAATCTGTTTAATAAACCGAATTGCAGTAACAACTAAATTTCACGGTATACGTAAAATTATATGTATAGATTTAATTACAAGAAATAGAATATAATAAAGGTAAACATACTAAAATAGTATAAAAATCAAACATATTATTATTTAACTGTTACAAAATTTCCAAAGCGGTCAGTGTTCGTGACAAATTTGTTAGTTGATTGTGTTCTAAGATAATAATTGTGTTCAGAATGCTTATAGTCCGTGTCTTGTGACCTCGAAAAGTGCCTAGAAAACGATTTTCATTAAACATGTCTTAGATCTGAAATATTTTTACGGGAACTAACACGTTCGAACACGCTGAGTTCAAATCCGAAAAGTTCCCACTCCGTAGACCCGCAGTTTTCTCACAAACTGCTATTTTATCTTCTATAATTTCACAGCAAATTTTTCATTGTTCAACGACATGGATCGATGACGATACACGATTATGTCATTCAAAAGGACCAATTTCTATTAACCATTCTTCCTCTTAACAAAAGATCGGTTTTGCTCGAATCATTTTGAGTTATGCAATCTTATGCGTTTTGGACGTAAACAACATATCTTGTCTACAACTTTGAGAAGGTACAGATAATTCCTTCTAATATCCTTAGTTCTGGATCTATCTCTATAAATTAAAAGGAGGTTAATGTTAAGTCCTTGGGCTATGTCTCCGGGCTGAAAAATAATTGCTTACATGCGATCAAAGTGTTTGATACAACGATGTAATATGTAATGGATCAGCATTTAAATTTCCAACACAGTTTCTGAGATGTAATTCAAGAGATAACTTATCATTGCATTTGAACTATTGCATTAGTTGGTGTTATACTGTGCGATAAGCGAATATTATTGGAAAGAGGGCTTCCATATACGTTGAAATCACCAAATAAACAGCTCATGCACGCATTTCTCCCCTTCATCGTAAGTTTACAGAGCATATTTTATACTTAAGCCTAGTTTCCATTTGGTCGTTAGTTGTCGCTGGCACGACAAGTGGCTGATGCAATAGAGTGTCAACAAAACTTGATAAAACTCTGCAATCATTAAGACTGATTTGCATATAACACACAAAAAGACTATTGATATTAGACTATTTCACATCTACCGCTTGTCGTGCCAGCGACAACTAACGACCAAATGGAAACTAGGCTTTAGGGACTGATCTTTGTCTTTGATGTGAACATTTATTCCTATAGTTTAAGGTTATTTAAGATTGATCCTGTCGTAAGTGTTCTACCAGCAACGAATCGACAATAGTTCATTTTAGCGTTGTCTTTGCCGTATACGTTTGCTTCGTGTTACTTTTGTTTTAAATACCTTGATCGCGTTAAAAGAGTTATTTTTCAGGCCAGTGACATAGCCAAAAGACTTAACATTAACCTCCTTTTAATTTTATAGAGATAGATCCAGAACTAAGGATATTAGAAGGAATTATCTATACCTTCTCAAAGTTGTAGACAAGATATATTAGTGAGCTTAAGCAAGTGACGTTTTTGACAACACGAACGGCATGAGTAACGTCAGAAGACTGGGTCAAGGGCTGTGATTGGTGAAAAACGTCAAGTTTACTTCCGGTCGAAGTCCGTGTTGTCAAAAACGTCACTTGCTTAAAGGCTGATTTCTACTGTTGCGTTTTTCGTACGCACGTACACGCACGTAAAACTTTGAATCCTTCTATTTTTTAAATATTTTACAAATAAGTTAACAAATGCATACTAAAACTTGCGGAACACTAAATTCTGTTGCTTTATTTATTTGGTTATTTCATAAGTAACATTTAAACGGATTTAAAGTTTTACGTGCGTATACGTGCGTATGAAAAACGCAACAGTGGAAATCAGCCTTTAAGCTCACTATTGTTTACGTCCAAAACGCATAAGATTGCATAACTCAAAATGATTCGAGCAAAACCGGTCTTTTGTTAAAAGGAAGAATGGTTAATAGAAATTGGTCATTTTGAATGACATAATCGTGTATCGTCATCGATCCATGTCGTTGAACAATGAAAAATTTGCTGTGAAATTAGTGAAGATAAAATAGCAGTTTGTGAGAAAACTGCGGGTCTACGGAGTGGGAACTTTTCGGATTTGAACTTAGCGTGTTCGAAAGTGTTACTTCCCGTCAAAATATTTCAGATCTAAGACATGATTAATGAAAGTGAACGATATCGGGTCACAACACACGGACTATTAGGTTCTCTCCGAGCAATATACATGCCAGTGGATTATATGAATCAACGTCCTCGGACTTTAGTTTAGTAATAAATTTTATGTGATGTGATTTATGTATCATAAATTACCGACTGCCCCTGTAGCAACCGCATGTGGATGCATTCCTTCTCCGAAGCTTTGTTTTCTTGGCATTTGACAAACATTAAAGATAGCACACTTTTGGGATAATTTGGCTAGGAGTAACAATCCTCCTAGCCGATTTATTTGAGTAAATAAAACAATATTTATTAATACGTATATGTTTGAAAATAGTAATGTTTTGGATAATTTGGCTAGGAGTAACCATCCTCCTAGCCGATTCATATTAAGGTTATACAGGACACCCTTTTTGGCATTTTGCGGAAAATCGCTACTGCGCGCTCAAAATCAGTCTGATTTTCATAAAATTTTCATCAAATGTTCGCCAGTGCATGCAAAATATGGCAAATTTAAAGTTATAAAATTAACAAACAATAAAATAATGTAAGAATTATTCAGGAAAATCTTAAATCGCGGTACCGTTACGCTTTTGAGTTGTGCTCCTGCTGGTTTTAAGCTATATTTATGAAAATATCATTTTTAAACAGTAAAATAGTTGTTCTAAAAAACTGTGTTCGGAAATTTTTGTTTATTTCGTCATTCCGCTGATATGGCGATTTCTTTGACGACTGCAATATATTTCTGAAATGTTTGAGTAAATAGTATATATAATATATATATATATATATATATATATATATATATATATATATATATATATATATATATATATATATATATATATATATATATATATAAATAGGTAGAGATAAAATAAACCTGGTTTACTTCATAAGATTTATTCACTACAAACTTGTTTCGTATGACAAGCAATGCTTACCACACTCATCAGGTGAATTTAAATGTCGCGCTATGTTGTTGCCAAGGTTATACATGTATATACTATATACATGTTTGACGTAAACGGAATGTTCAAGTATTAAATTACGTATATAGAATACATATATATGCAGATTATATTAAGTAATGTATATTGCTTAAGAGAAATTTGTTTCTATGTCTGCAGTTCGACAAAAGTTTACTTCTTGAATTTAAAGAACAAAGTTGAGGGTGGTAGATTATGATTTTTCATTTTTCTGTTTACGTCAAACATGTAGATAGTATATATAACCTTGGCAACAACATAACGCGACATTTAAATTCACCCTATATATATATATATATATATATATATATATATATATATATATATATATATATATATATATATATATATATATATATATATATATATATAATGTTTCCACAAACCAAAACAACACAAATATAACTAAAATTATCAACATGCAAAACTACAAAGAAGTTATGACCATTGAACTATAAATAAACTGGAAGGCTAACTCAGGGGGGGGGGGGAATTGAAGCCAGTGCATTTTAGTTTTTCTGAGTTATGAGCAGAAATACTCAACACTGAACGTTGGGCTATATATCAAATTGAAGCTATTGAAAAACGCTATTTGGTGTGGAAATTTCAAGACTTTAGCTAAAAGGGAAATATTGAAAAACTACAAACATAATTACCGATAATTTGCCGTTTTGCAGTTGTTTTCGTATTTTTTAAATATTTTTCTTTTCGCTGAAGTCTTGAAATTTCCACACCGAATAGCAATTTTCAATAGCTTCAATTTGATATATAGCCCGTCGTTTGGGGTCAAGTATTTCTGCTCATAACTCAGAAAAACTATTTTGGCTTCATCAAATCATAGGCCTTCATCATAGCA